CATAATTCGGTCATTTCTGGCCATTCGCCGATTATCTCAAAAGAAAATACATCTATGAACCGTGCGGAACATGTCCATACCAATTAGAATGGGCTACGCCACTTGTACTCCAAAATAATTCCTTTTAAGTGTTACATTTACATCGGCTCATATAATTTTAGCATATACTGTATGTGGTATGTATAATATAGGGTATGTTTAATATAATTAAGGGTTATGTAATTTCTGCTCCACATCATTATCGTATTTTATATTAGTTTATTCAGGCAAATGGGTATTTCATTAATTTTTTAAAGTTTAAATGTACTTTCACTACTGTAAAAATTGTTTAATTGTTTATTACAAAACAATATTTATTATTATAATAAATCCAATATAGTGATGTTAGATAATATAGAAATAATTCCTGTAGTGTAGAAAATTCGTGACTTTGCTTGTTAAACTTAAAATTGAAATATAATATTTAACGTCACTTAAGACAATGATATTGAAACAAGGTTCACACAGCGATGCTATATTTCAATCACAATTCTCAATGAATAATCAATAGCGATCTGCGTTATCTACAGGTTTAGTATGAATCCCATAAAATTAGCATTGTTCCATAGATTTAACATTACCCATAAGATGACATTAGTCCATGTTAAAGTATAGTCTATTGACTTAAGCTCTAATCCTATGTTAAATCCAATAGAGAGAGGAGGGGTGCAGGTGGGGTGAAGCAGCCGAACTATCCTATAAACCACATTATTCTATACAGAATTGTGATTAAAAATGCATGAATATACATTAATATAAGTGATTGTTAGAAATTAACAGTTAGTGTCGGATAGAGAGGCAAACTGTGCAACAAAAGCCAAGTTGAAAGTAAAATAATTGCTACAAAACAATAAATAATGGCAAATAAAAGGCTGAAAATGTTATTCGTGCCGATCCTACGCGAGGGTCACGTGAATCCATGTATCGCTATCGCGGAGCGCGTGTTAGCCGACGGACACCGCGCGGTGTTTGCGGTGAACAACATGTGGTCGGGTCGGCTCACCCGCTATGGCATCGAAGAGGTACTGTTGACCGAAACGGCTGTACCGACGCGTCCGGCGTCGGGTGTGAGGAACGCGGCCTTAGATGTGATGGCTTCGGGTGAGTTCGGCCGCGCGTCGCCCATAGAGAAGATGAGGCTCCGGGCGGCGAATCCGCAGCACTTTATAACACACGTCCAGTATATGGACGCAGCGCTCGAACGCCTGTTGCCCGCCGTTCGGCCCGATGTCATCGTTTTGGATCAGTTGGTGACACTGCCCGCAGCCGAGTTGTATGGCGTGCCCTGTGTCTGGTCGTGGGCCACGTCGTCACTCATGATGATTGACGATGAGAGGGCACCGCCCGGACAGTCAGGTATGTTATACTCGCAGCCGGTCTTAAGCGCCACAAAAACAAAAGTCCCGTTGAAATGACCGCCCAATCCATAGGACTGTCCGCTACGGGAGACCAGAGATTATGGCGAGAGTTTCGTCAAGTGGTTAGAGACGTGGCGCGAGACAACTGGCGGGCGTTCAACGACTATGTGGTCGGCCGGGGCTGCGAACCACTGCCCGAATACTGTTTCCATAAGCCCTCCCATTATCTTCATATATACAGCTTTCCCCTGGAGTTGGACTATCAGGACATCCGTCCGTTGGGTCGGAATTATGTTCGCTTCGATCATATGATGCGAACTGAAGGGCACCAGACATTCGCTGTGCCGCCAGAGTTGGCCGCAAAGCCCGGAAAGTTGGTGTACTTCTCGATGGGCACTACAGCGTCGGTCGACGTGTCAAATATGCGCCGATTGGTCGCCATTTTGGCCAAATCTCCGCACCGTTTCATCGTATCGATGGGAGCGAAGCATAAGGAGTACACTTTGGCCGACAACATGTGGGGCGCGGAGTCTGTGGCTCAGACACTAGTCCTACCACTTGTAGATCTGGTGCTAACACACGGCGGCAATAATACGGTCAACGAAAGTCTATACTTCGGCCGACCGATGATAGCTATGCCTGTGTTTAGCGAACAATACGATAACGCGCAGAGACTGCACGACAAGGGCTTTGGTCTACGACTGGACGCATACAAGTGCTCAGAAGAGGAGCTGTTGGCCGACATTGAGTCTCTACTAAACGATCGCCAATTGGCTGAACGCTTGGCCAAAGTCTCCCGAAGAATACAAACCGATAATAGTTTGGCAAAAGTGTCGCAACTTATTGAAGATTTTGCTCAAAATCCGCGCAAATATATTGATTAGTTTGATTGCATTAATGTTTATTTAATTTTTGTTTTACAGTAATATATAAAGTTACTAAAATTACAACTAAACTAATTTTCGTAATATAATAATTTTAAAAATACCTACAAAAACTATTAATTGACATTTATAACATTTATTTATATATTTAATTTTAAAAAAATTAAATTTTAAATGCCCTTTCTAAATAATTGTAAATTAAAATTTATAAAAATAAATAAATAATTAATTTAGGTTTTTTTGTAGCATTTAAATAAATTTTTGTTTTTGTAAAAGTTATATAGTGGTAATTTTTAAAACATAAGCCCACTTAATAGGACTGTCGGGGTTTATATACGGGAATATGATGTGCGTTGACGTCCCGGAGCCCGCCTTAAAAGTGAGGTCAGTGTTATCTCCCAATAGTTGTATGGATTGGACGGTCTTGTGGTCGAGTGAACCCAATTCCAGGTCATTATTCTTCGGCCAAAACAATACAATAGAGTAAACAGTTTTTTCTTTCATTGTATACCTATTATCCAATGTATAAAAATGTATTTAAATTAATTGTTTTATCATTTTATATTAATTTATACCAAACACGAGAAGTTAATGTATCGTTTTGATAAATCCAGGGTTTGCTCTCATATATGGCCTCACCATTGATGGACAGCCAGTGCCCCAAATCCCGTAACCGGTCCTCAAATATGGGTTTAATAACGCCGTCATGAGAGGGACCGATGTTTATCAATAGATTACCCCCACAACTCGTTTATACACATAATAATCATTAAAAACACGTTACTATTAAGTGCTGCATATAATTGTCAAACAGTGTTAACCAATACCTAATAGTTTTGGCCAAAGTGGCCAACAATTCACGTATTGTAATATAATCCCGAAGTTTAGCGATTCGTCGATAACCCCACCCAAACTTGTCCAATGACATCGCGTTTTCCCACTTATGGTTCTGCAATACACCAGGGTTAAATCTGTCGACGTGGTTATGGAAATCACCATGCTTGCCACCCGTATCAGTTCCTATAATCAACAGTATTTAGACGGCAATCACAAAATTTAACCATGACATTTTATGTTTACCCCATCGATCGTTGACAACAACCGTGTCCTTAACGGGGCTATTGAAATAAACAATATTAATAATAATAGTATGACCATGGTCATTACCTGTCGTTATAAAGCCAGGCCAAGAACTGTTGGGTTTCCCAGTATTCCGGCACAGCATGTCTGCCCCCATCCGACCAAATAATGTCCGGTTTGTATGAGTTTACCAACTCTTCTAATCCGGGCCTCGCTTTGATCTTTGGACACGAGTTATATTTAATATTAGATTAAGTTTAAAAATAAACATGATATCCAGTCGTTCAAAAAAACTTGTCGCCTCAAGAATCGTTATATCTCCCGAACAGAATGAGCTAGATCAAATCTGTAAACTGTAAAATGATGATCCACATATCTAGTTTTTTCTGACGAAAAATTATTAAAATTACGTGACTAGAACATGGAAATTTTTGGGTCATTTCGAAATGCTATGGTTTTAGCCCAGTTGGAAGGGGGGTTGGAAGGAGGCGGGTATGCTATTTGGGAGAGGAGATGTGAAAGTATATTATAGCAAAGTTTGATAAAATTCAAATAAATATTTTTTCGTAACGAACAAAATAAAGTTGTTTAAACTGTGTTATAAACCGGTTTTTAGCGGGTTAAAACTGGAAAAATATGATGTAAAATCATCAATATTTTCCAGCTGAAGTCTTGGTAAAAAGGGGTATCTGGATTACAATTATTTTATGACAATTTCTCGTAAATGGCTGGACTAATCTTAGTCAAATTTTACTATAATATACTTTCACATCTCCTCTCCCAAATAGCATACCCGCCTCCTTCCAACCCCCCTTCCAACTAGGCTAAAACCATAGCATTTCGAAATGACCCAAAAATTTTCATGTTCTAGTCACGTAATTTTAATAATTTTTTGATACAAAAAACTAGACATGTGGAACTCTGTTTTACATTTTACAGAATTGATCTAGCTCATTCCGTTTGGGAGATATAACCATTCTTGAGGCGACAAGTTTTTTTGAACGGCTTAATATATTGTGTATTTATGACCATGATCAATTACCTTAACAAATGTATTTGTCTGGAAGTTGTTTGCCCTGTCGTTCACGTAATAAGGATTAAACCATTCAAGCAGTGAGTGATAGACACCAAACCGAAGGCCAGCCTTACGTACAGCGATCGCCAAATCACCTTAAAATTTGACATTATTTACATTTTGTCAGTTAGTTGTTTATGGTAAAAAGTAGTGTCCCAAATGTTTACCGACTAAATCCCGATTGGGTCCGACATCCATAGCGTTCCAGTTATAGGACACGTTTGATGGCCAGAGAGCAAAGCCGTCGTGATGTTTGGCGGTCAGCACCACATACTTAGCACCCGATGCTCTGTGTATTTATTATACAGTTTATGTTTTCCCAAATACTGTACTATTATTTATGTAAAATATAACTGACTTAAAAATATGAGCCCAATGTTTGGGATCGTAAAACTCTGCGGTAAACTGTGGGGCAAAGTCTCCATAAGTAAAGCCCGGTCTGTAGTTCTTTGCCATAAACTCTAACCACTCTTTCCTTTTATCCCATTTCCATTGATACCTGTAATCAAGCCATTAATAAATGCATAATTAATGTAAAATTGTGGTTAATTAAATTAAATCAATTAATATATTTGTTTGTTATTTAAGCGATTATATTTAAGTTTATTTAAAACATTTTAAATGCTTAGCAAAATATACTTAATAATTATTTGTAAGAATACTGACCAAAACCATTCATCTCCATAAGAGGGCACTGAATAAACGCCCCAATGAATGAATATGCCAATTTTAGCATCGTCAAACCAACTTGGTGTCGGTCGGCTGTCCAATGATGACCAGTCCGGTGTATACCTCTGGGCCTTCACATAGAGTTTTGGCAATATTATTGATGATAACACTAAATAAATTACGTTAACTGTTATTGACATTGTTTTAACTAATCGTAAATTATATGATTTTTTCAAAATGATAATTTTAATATTTTTTTATTTAACCAAAAATATCGGTAATTGTGTTTGCATTGAATACGTGTTGTTTGTATTAAACATGGTTTTGTTTTATTGTCAATTATTCAGGAGATAAATGGTATTTGTGTTGAAAATATGTAATAAATTAGTTTTGAATTTATTGAGATATGATTTCTGTTGTGTATTATAATATAATCAATATTTTACTAATTGATGTAATTTAACAACTATTTCCTCAAACGTGCAAATTATGTGCTTATTAAAATGACAATTAAATTTTGTAATATTTAAAATTGCATATTAATTATAAACAATATATATTAAATAATAATAATTAACTTGTTTTAATTGTTAAATTAACAAAATTAACAATTAACAAGTTGTATAACATATTAATGGATAAATAGGATAAATAAACGAGAGATATAATTTTGAAAATAAACAATTCGTATTTATTCATTCATTCATTCATTTAATAAAACTACTGTTTATGTCGCAGGTAGTTTGCAGGTTGCATGGTGAAACACCTGAAATTGCCCACCCCGCTCTCCTTACACTCTCGTGGCAGTACACAATCGAGTTTGTTGCATTCCTCCCTGGCCAATTCAAAATCAGTATCATGGTAATATAAAATATCCGTATTGTTGTTCCTATAGCGCCTAAATCTCCCAAACCAGACCTTGATGAATAGCACCGCATAAAGCCGCCCCCATGCATGCGGCAACGTTTTGGCATGATACATGTCGGCTTTATTAGGCTACATTGTTTGATAGCCCCTTCCAGCTTGATTGTATCAGTCATATACTCGATTGTCACATTACCTTCAGCATATTTTTGAACATGGTGTTTAAGATCACGTCCAATAACGCACCTGAAATAATCTGCCGAATACTGCTCGCAAACATTTGGCATGTCGCATTTTGTTTTTAACTCGTCGCATTTCTTTATGGCCACACCGAACTCGGTTTCGGCTTGATAGTGAATCATCATGTTGTTGTATTCGCGCATAATATAATCTGGAATCAATCCAACCCTCGTTGCAGTTCCCACCTCTACCATCATGATGATGATCGTGGTGAACAATATTATTCTACTTGCCATTTTCAGCCACATGGTTTTCGTTTTCAAGTTTTCATTTTATTTTTATAAAAGTATATTAGATATTATTATTTATAAATGTTGTGAAAACGTGTCAGTTGTTTGCTATACTCTAACTTGAAATACCATATGCGATTAGAAATTATATTACTTGTAGTGTTACCAGATCAGCTTTCATATTCTCTGGTAATAAGTAAGATTACCATGTTAATTTCAGCAAATGCCAAAGGCGACATCGGGCAAATTTTTATTATAACATTAAAGTACGCTTTATACGGCTTTTATGCGACCATGTGATGTTTAATTTGGCCGCAGCAACATATTTTATCTTAATTTATTTAAATTAAATTTAGTATTTTATAAATAAGTATATCATGTGATGCAATAAAGGTATGGATGAGTGAAATTGAATTATAAAATAAATTTCTATCTATAATCTAATTACAAAGAGTTACAAGAGTTACAAACGTACAATAAATAACATAATTTTAAACAAAAATTACAACTAATTCATAGCGCGTTTGTGTCGAACGTTTTTCTTATGCTACTCTCGGAGTCGACGCAAATTTTAATTATGTTGTGTATTCTTAATTAGCGTAAAAATGTATTTAATTAGCCATTGAGTTCAAGGTGTATTATATACAACTTACCCTAAGTTGACGGCTAATTGCTCTTCAAGCCGGTGGCTTCAGCCGACACACCGGACCAACACATGGACGCGGGTGTTGGCCGTCAGGCGGCCGTTTGTTGCGGACGTTTCCTTACAGACGCAACACTGACGCGCGCGGACCACATACTTGGTGTCGGGTGACAACGGCTGTACGAATGCTCTCTACTTCAACTCAAACTAATCGACTGCACGTTTGAAACGAGGCTTTTCTCACGTTGTTTTCGGTGTCGACGTAGTGATTTGGAATGTATAATATAGGTTATTTAGAATACCACGTGACCCACATCGGGCAATAGGGTATGTAAAAAACTAGGTATATGAGACTATTATATTGTCGCGATCGGTAATGAGCAGACTAACGGGCGAAGTATGACCACTACTGTCACAACTATTAGGTGTGGTCGCCGACGGTATTAACCCCTAAGTGAGGGCTAAATAACGTTACACTCGATTAACATATATACAATAACTTTATTTGTAAAAGTAATGCCTTCGAAGAGGACTTATAATAGACTGCGATTAAAACATTGAATGCTTGAGTCTTATATACCCTGAATATGACATAAAGGTAAGTATACAATGAGTATATAAGTGTGTATATCGTATGCTGATGAGATGATCGAAGGGGCTTCTGATTGGATAGAGAGCCCATCATATTCATGATGAATAGTCACTGGAAAAGTGCCAGGAGTGATACATTCACATTCACGACAATATACTTTTTACAGAATCTAATTATCTCTTATAGTTTAAAAGATATAACAAAAACGCGACGCACAACATTAATTGAACGCTTCTTTATAAACGACGATTAATTCAAGTAATGAAACTATTTTTTAAAATTAAATTTAAATTTCCAGAAATTAGCAAAAATTGGATAAATTCTATTACATTTTATTTGACTTCAAAAAATGGTATAAAATGTAAAACTATTGTAAACAGAATTTGTTTATTGGATAACAACTTATTTAATTATTGTAATAATATTTTTAATGATCTGCCAATTAATGTACGAAATGAATCCAATTATAATATTGTAATTAATTTATTGAACGGTTATTTATTCTAAACATTGTATTTCAAAAAATAATAATAAAATAGTTCAATTTTAAACTAATAATGCAATTTTTTAAAATTGCAAAATCTGGATTTTATAGAAAACAATCTAAAGAGTTCACAATTAGAAAAATTAAATAACGGTAATTGCATTTTGAACACCTATGTAAAACACCTTTATAACATCTACCGTAGGGTTAGTAAAAAGTTTTATAAAATTTAAAATTTAATTTCTTATTCGCATTACACAATATCTCACTTATTAATTATGATGCCCAGGTGTGTACAAATTCAAATACGGTGCTATCACTATACGCAAATACATAAAAAAAATTATACTCATAAATGCGTAAATTAGATATTACAAAATTTTTAACATTTAAAAAATTAATAATTACATAGTACTTGTCTTAATTGAATAGACTTGTTGAACACCGCATATAAACCAGCGCACATCTCACCAAAAACTATCATTTCAAACTTATTCCAACGAGACTGAAAAAAGTAATAAACCTGTGTTAAAAACTTATTAATTTATAATTCAATTATGATAAATAATAATTAGTTGTATTAATAGATCCACACAAATCATGACCAGCAACAACATGGCCAACAAGTTGATAATGGTGGTGGTGGCGTTAATGATGGTAGCGCCAATGAACGCTATGCCAAATAAACAACCTTGGGTGACCAGACCAGCGCCAATGAACGCTATGCCAAATAAACAACCTTGGCTAGACCAGACCAGACCAGAAAACATCGGGTGTCCACCTCGTCACTTCAAAAACCACGAAACAAATGCTTGTATTGCTGAACACTCAGTTATACGTGGCGGAAAATGTGCAGACAACGACTGGTGCAAACATGACTTAGAATGCGGTTTTGGGGCCGGTTTTGTCATGATCTGTATGCCACCTCAAGGATAATTCAAACATGATCAGCCCCGCAGTTCTTATTACTTCAATTACATTTATTATATTTAATATGTAATAAATGTATTATTTGTTCGATAACTAGTATAATTTATTATTTAATACAATGTATATTTCATATTTGTTAAATCGATCAAATCGTTCTGTTGTAATTATGAATAAAAACTAAGCAAATAAAATTTATTTTATTTAAATGTAACATTTCTTTATTTATCAATTGAAATAATTAAATTTTTAAATAATCATGTAATTTTAAAAATTACATATTAAAATTAAAAAACAATAAACAGAAATAGAAATTTATTTTTTAATTAAATTCAATTAATAAATAATTATTCAATAGAACAACAAATATGTCCATGGTCAACAAGTTGATGATGGTCGTGGCATTAATGATGATAAAGTTTATGTACAGTACAATGTGTTAATGTGTTACGACACAACCGTATGGCTATCTAAAGTGTACTTGCTTATTTAAATTTATTTAGTTAATTAAGTTAAATTTTAGGCTAACTATTCAATATTTAATTTTATTATTAACGTTTGTGTTATTTATAATGTTTAACAAATTTAATATAGTAATTTCATTATGTTAATGTACAATAATCTCTCTCTCTCTCTCTCTCTCTCTCTTTCTTTCTTTCTCTTTCGCATTGTAATGTAAAATGTATCATGTTACTTTTATTTTAAGTTAAATATTTAATTATATGAAGAGTGAGGGAGAATTGACACAAAATATTTAGTTTAAGTCCAGCCTCAGACTCATGTTATGTCTTACTTATAATTGTTTAATGTTTTTTAATAAATGCAACTTTTTATAATAAATATTCGCTTTTATTTACGTTTTATTAAATAATTATGAAAATAAATATGAGTTTTAGCCCTAGGTTGATGTGGTTGTCACGGAGAAACCCACCTAAACTAACCTAGGACAACTTGTGATTATTTTGTAACAAATGAATAGCGAAAGTGCTTAAGAGGGCGACGACTGTGCGATAGATGTCAACTGTGCGATTGTTTACACTGTTTTCATAGTTATAGCTTATAAGTTGGCGAAGAGTGGCCGTATGTTTGAAATTACATAATAATTTATAACTACCGTACTACTAAAGTTATTTATTGAATAAATAATTATT